CTCTCTCTCTCTCTCTCTCTCTCTCTCTCTTTAACTGATTCGTTTCGTTTCGTTCAGTAGAGTGAACGGATGGTATTCTCTATCGAGGTCCCCCACCTCCTTATCTCTCATTTGCCATTTTCGTATATTTTGGCAATATTATTGTTTAAACTTTCAAAGGAAGAGTATTAAGAATATGATGGTTATGAATTTAAGTGATGAAAAGCACGAGGTTTTTGTTTTTTCTATCTACGTCGATCGGTCCGTGTTTGACTCTTTCTCGAAGAAAATCAATTCCGATAGACTAGTAATATATAGAGTTGTAAGAAAAAAAAAAAGAAAAATTTAAGTGATGTGAGGTTTGGTTATTTTAATTCTCAGTCCACTTAAGAGAATTGTATGTCTTCTATATATGATTTGGTTAGGAGAAAAAATGAAGCAATTTTGTGGATATTTTCTCTTGTTCATCAATTTTTATGAAATTTAATAAATCACAAAAAATGAGCTATAGAAAAGATATAAGAAAGCAATCCATTTTGGATCTTTATCAACCAATCTTTAAAACTCATAGAGGCGTAGCTACTGTGGGAGTAAGAAATAAAAACACACCCTTATTCAAAAAAAAAAAAAGAAATAAAAACACACGTCTAAATAAGACAAAGAATTTTTCTTTTTTTTTTTATGTTAACAAGAAAACTGTAAAAATAAAAATAGTATCGATGATAATAAATAATATTATGCGTAATCACTGTATGTACTATTTGATTACTAAATATCTTGCAGTAAAAACAAAATATTTTTAGTAATCGGTCGACTTGATTATGAGTTATATAATTATATATATATACTTTATTTTGTATTAATTATGAACCAAAATGAAAATTCACAAATTTAAATATTTTAATGCTTATTAAATTTATTTTTTTACAAATTTATTAAAACACATGAACAAATTTTAGATTTTTTAAAAAACGGAGTTAATATATATTATGAGTACGAATAAAAATAATAACTATTGAGTTAGCTTGAAAGTTGTTGGAATCACGTGGTGACCTCACCAACAATCAAAGCAACATAGCCGTGAGAGTTGAGGTGGCAGCGGCGAAGCAAAGGCACGTTATATCGGCGGCAAGATTGTGAAACGGCGGAGCACGAGACGACGACGCCTTCGCAATTCTCATTTTTGCCACTTGTTTTATCTTTTTTTTTTCTTTTTCTTTGGATACTATTTACATTTACGTCCACTGACTAATCTAGCAGTATCAAAGTAGATCAGTCAAATCTTACTGTATGGTGAAAGATGTCAGATCAAACGTAGCCCCCCTAGTAAATTCTAAAATTAGCATCATGATTAAGGCCTATAACTAGATTACAAAGCCATGCAGTTTTTAGCATTTTTAGCACCCCGTGTAAAAGCAATAAAAATAAAATAAAAAGGTTAGGTTGCGTGTGGAATTTGAAAAAAACATGTATAACCACTAATTTAAGTATCTCTCTATTTTTATGGTGACTAGATTAACATTCTTAGTTTTTTTATGCATATATTTTTATCTTAGTACTATAATATTTGATGTTGTAGTTTGAGTGTAACTCGAAAAGTGTTAATTCATACTTCTTTTGTTTTATAGTAAGTCATAATTTTAGGTAAACAAAAGAGTTTCAGATGTTTTATATTTTTTATATAAAGATTAACTAATTATTTTTAGTTTATATATATATTTGTATTTTGTATTTTTTACTGGTTTAATTACAAATATTTAAACCAAAGAAATATCTTATTAATATTTGTTTTTAGGTTTTACTAGTATTAATGTATTATACAAAATGATGTGGAGATAATATAAGTTTCTATGTTTCTTAAAATAACTATAAGTCAAGGGAAATTTTGATATATTTCCCACTTAAAAATAAATGACACTATGTTTTTCATGAATTTTGAATGAAATTTTGTGAATGAAATTTTGTTTTTCCTATTTCTTAAACCAAGAATTAACCAGCAAGTTACATGAAATATTCGTTAAATTAAAAAAAAAAGGATACAATTTTACTGGAAAACATTATTTTCAAATATACGATATTAATCATAACCTCATTATTATACGGATATACACATACATGCATACACATGTACTCTACAAATATGAAGGATAAATGATTAGTAAAAACTAAAGTAATAGTATATAAGAATATTGCCAAAAACATGACATTTACAATTTCACATATATTTATAAAAAATTTTAGGGTTTCTTTCCATTTCATGTTCTTTGTTACATGATAAGATCATGTAGTGATTAAAGGTGAAAACCAAAGACAAAATAGCATTAAAATACGAATTTCCCGTTACTTTTAAGAGAAGTAACTAACAACTAAAGCATTTAGATATGTGTAGACGATTCAAATTATATCTTTGTAACAACGAAGTCTCAAAGGTCAACTGATACGTAAATATTTTTCTATATTATTACTAGAGACGTATCCTGTTTGTGCACAAACTAATGTCAAATCACGTCGGCTTCAAATTATAATTACCATTCTCTCATAACCATTCTTTCTCTCGTCGGTTCTATTCTCGAACTCGTCCTTGTAACTTTTTTTTTTATCCTTCAACTGTATACTTTTCCCGTTGATCACGGACCGAGGAAAAAAACATAAACTGACCCACGAGTGACAAATCCTATGCAAAACACTTCATATTACATTACGAGGACATTGTTATATATCCCCATTGTTATATGAGATTGGTGACAAGATGATGTTTGTTTTTTTATTTTATTTTATCATCCTTACCGTATTGGCTTTGTTATTATTCTTACGACTTACGAGATTGTGACAAGATGAAAAAATGGGATTTTGTGAGAGAGAAGAGAGGTGAGGAGAGGAGACAAGAGTGACCCACAAGTACAAAGAGGCATATAAGATGACTGGTCCTTGTGGGTCGTGGAGATTCACGTCAATCAGCTTAACCAGGTCTTCAAGCTAACTCACGCCGACGAATCGTTTTGGCTTCTTGATGAGAACCATTGTTTATTTTATTTTATTTTAATTACATTCTTGTTGATAATCACTAAGTTTATAATATTAGTATGTCTTAATTACGTATGTTATTAGTTAATTACCTTGTCAAATTACACGTCTTATCAACTTTCCGACTTTTTCTTTTATATAAGTCATATATTAAATTGTTAGTCGGTTTAGAACTTTAGATTTGATGTTCTTCGAGATTTTGTATATTTGACAATAAAGATTCAAAATTCTTATGTTTACTGTTAAGCAATTCACATGATAAAGTAAAGGTGACATTAAAAACGCACTAAAAGCATTATACAAAGAGGTATATAACGAAAAAAAATAGAGGTGATGGGAAAAATAAATAAATAGAGAGAGAGGCGTGGGATGACTTTTTCCAATAAAGCAAAGACAAGTTAATAGGAAAGTGGTTCGATGGTTTTTGCTTATTTGGGAAAGGGTTTGTAAATTTTTACTCAAGACTTCAAAATATAACTTGTTCCATGGCATAGCAATGAATGAGATTGAACTACACTAAACCTAAACGGGTGAGTTGTTGTTAGACTTAAAATTTGTTAGATGGGCAATGAATGAGATTGAATTATTGACCTAAACTAATTGGCAATATAGTGATTTACTACTATCAAATAAATGAATAATACATACTCCTACAGTTTATTCCTTAGTTTTCCAATTTTTTATTTTATGAAGTCAGTGTGTTATTGTGTGATTTATTGTTGTCAAACAATGAAAACTATTTATTTACATGTTTAAATAAATATTAATACACTGTTTTTTCCGTTAACATTCTCAAATTATTCTTTATGTTTTAACACATTTAGCCGTTTATATTTGTTTGCGTCGACTGATGTTTACATGCAATTTTGGTCGTCGATTTTTGTTTTAAGATATATCTTTCACCTTAATATTATGTTTTATGACCAATTTATCCCATGATTAAGAGAGTAAATCATATCTTATGCGATTTACATTGGTCTAGTACCTAAATTGCTATAAATTTGTAAGAAATATGATTTTGACCAATGCTAATTATCCAAATTGTCTTAAATGTCTTACTGCAAAAAAAATATTCCAAAAAAAAAATTGGTCAATACTAATAAAACAGCTATATATCTTTTACCTTAAATATTATGTTTTATTGACTAATTTATCCCAAAACTAAGAAAGTAAAACATATATTTATTCTACATATATATTACATACGTTGGTCTAGTACCTAAAGTTACTATAAATTAGAAGAAAAATATGATTTTTTTGACCAATGGTAATTATCCAAAATATCTTGACTGAGTTCAATAACATTTTCCAATTATTCAAAGTTTCCAAAAAAATTATTCTTCAGTTTCGGAGGCAGTTTCGAGTAAAAAGAACAAAAAGATGCAAAATTTACTTTTTTCTTTGACTCAAATACAAAACTTTAATTTGTTTTGTTCCTTTACAAAAAAAATAAATATATATAGCAATATGCCAAAGTAATAAATTGTAACGTCGGAATTAATAGTAAAATAGAAAAGAGATAAAAAAAAGAAGTAACCGTTGTTACAAAAAATATAGTAATTGGCTGATTCTTTACGTTTGACCTCTCTCTCTCCTCTTCCTATACATCAGTTTCTTCCTCAGTTTGTTACATTACATACATCTCTTACTCGCACCTTCCCTCACGTGCTTTACACGCGCGATTAACCATTTTCTCCGGTAAAAAAACAAATATAAAAATAACCCCGGAGGTTAGTTTCAACTTTCAAAACAAATTTTTGTAACCGTCTCCGATTTATAAATTTATTATATAACCTTCACACAAACAAAACAAAACAAAATTAATTAACTTTATTTACGTAAAAGCGAGCATTGGGGTCAACGACGTTTTGACCGGCAAATAAGACAAAAGTACAAGGGTATACTCGTAATTTCAGCTTGGCATACGTATGTACTCTTTGAGAGAGAGAGAGAGATACAACTCAACCACTTTGTATATTTATAAGCCCAAAAGAGATAAATAAAAAGAGAGAAAGAGATAAGAGAGTCTGTGTAATCCTCTCAATAGACAACACAAAAGATACAAAGAAGAAGAAGAAGAGATTTTTATTATGGTACCCGTTAGAAAATCTACAAAGAGAGTTTTCTCCGGCGACTTTACTCCGTCGAGAAAACGCCGACGATGTCTTCCTCTATCTGTTTCTCCGGCGCCGGAAAGTGTTGTTGTTGTTGGTGGTGCCGATTTGCTAGATTCGATCCCTGATGATCTTGTTGTTTCTATCCTTTGTAAACTTGGTTCTACTTCACGATGTCCTGCTGATTTCATCAACGTTTTGATGACGTAAGCTTTCCCGGTTTGTGTTTTATTTTTCGCCGGTTTGGTTTTTTTTTTCGTTACAGAGTTCTGATTTTTGTGTTTTTGGATAACAGATGTAAGAGATTAAACGGATTAGCTATGAACCCTCTTGTGTTGTCGAGGTTGTCTCCTAAAGCTATTGCTGTTAAAGCTCATAATTGGTCGGAATATTCTCACCGGTTTTTGAAACGGTGTGTCGACGCCGGAAGTCTCGAAGCTTCTTACACTCTAGGAATGGTTAGTTTCCTTAAAACTTAGTATTATTGAAAATAATTTGTTAAAGTTTTGATTTTGATATTTATTTCCATTTTCGTGTAGATTCGTTTTTATTGTTTACAAAACAGAGGAAACGGCGCGTCGTTGATGGCAAAAGCCGCGATTAGTTCTCACGCGCCGGCGTTGTATTCGTTAGCCGTGATTCAGTTCAACGGGAGCGGTGGTTCAAAGAACGATAAAGATCTTAGAGCCGGTGTGGCTTTATGTGCGCGTGCGGCTTTTCTTGGTCACGTCGATGCGTTACGTGAGCTTGGTCACTGTCTTCAAGATGGTTATGGTGTTCCTCAAAACGTGTCGGAAGGTCGTAGGTTTCTCGTTCAAGCCAACGCACGTGAACTCGCCGCTGTTTTGTCTTCCGGGATGCAAGCTAGGTCAACGTGGCTAACTCTGTCGCAGCCACCTCCTGTTCCTAGCCATGGACAAGGATGTCCTCTGCTTAGCGATTTCGGGTGTAATGTACCGGCACCGGAAACGCATCCGGCGAATAAGTTTTTGGCTGAGTGGTTCGCCGTACGCGGCGGAGAGAATCCCGGAGATGGGTTGAGGTTGTGTTCACACGCTGGGTGTGGACGGCCGGAGACGAGGAAGCATGAGTTTAGGAGGTGTTCGGTTTGTGGCGTTGTGAATTATTGCTCACGCGCTTGTCAAGCGTTAGATTGGAAACTCCGGCATAAGATGGACTGTGCTCCGGTTGAACGGTGGATAGATGAAGGTGAAGGTGGTGAAGGTAACGTTCAGATTGACGGAAATGGTAACGGTGATAATGGTTTGCTTCCAATGAGTTAACGGCAATGTAACGGCTGCTTTGAATAGTTAAAAAAAAAACTCGACGAGAGATGAGGTAAAAAACCGGAAGCTAGTTTCGTTTTTTTGTCTTTTTTTTGCTATTAGTGGAAAAGATTAGGATAAAAAACAAAATTACTGTCGAGTAGAGTAATTTTTGTAATTCCAATCGATTGTAAAGAGGAATTATATAAATGAACGGCTTTTCTTTTAATTGCATTTCATGTCAAAAAAATGTTAATTTTAGTTTTACTTTTCATGCTTAAAATCTTAATTTTACTTTCTTATGTTAAAAGTCTTAATATTGGTTATTCTTTTCATGTTAAAATCTTAATTTTAGTTATACTTTTTATGTTGAAATTTTTTAGTTTTGGTTATTCTTTTCATGTTAAAATCTTAATATTAGTTATACTTTTCATGTTCTTTTTTTTAAAAAAAATCTTAGTTATACTTTTGATGTTAAAAGTCTTTAATTTTAGTCATGTTAAAAATCTTGCCCAAAAAGAAAAAGAAAAAAATGTCATGTTAAAAATCTTAATGTAGTTTTACTTTTTTATTTCGTATTATCTTTGTGAAAGGATCTAATGCCGTAAGGAGCTTATTTCTACTTTATTCTTCATCCTCACATTTGGATTTTGTTAAATTTAAGTAGTGGATGGTGAGGTTTTGACCCATTATATGTTTTGAGTGTTTTGAGCTTTTTTTCTTGCTTTGCATTAGGTTCCCTTGGTGGTTTGCATATTGTCCCTACACCAATATTTGAATTCAATCATCTTGCTTCGTAATAAAACTCATTTTTCATTGTCTCCTTATAAACATCTATGATTGCTCTTGACTGTTTTGCGAAGAATGGACTTTTTTTTTCTAGGATTAAGTCACTTGGGTTTGATGTCGAGAACTAAGTCATTATATTGACATCCATTACTCCAACACTATCATATGATCGAGGTTGCTATGTTCCGGCAACATGTTAAATTAGACTTCTGCATTAATATACTCACATTGTTTTCGATCTTACAGTCTCACACTTGACATAAGATCGCATAGAGCTTCCAGCCTCCCCATGTATGTGTCGCTTTCTAGGAGGCATATAATTGTGTATAAGTTAATTTTCGGATGTTCTAGGTTTGGAGGCTGTATAGGTTAATTAGGTGGTTTGCACTAAGTATTCTCCTTTTTTTCTTTCGATTTGTTCTTGTTATTCAATCTAAAGGTCAAGAAGATTAAACACAAACAAGAATGTTAGTAAGAATTTCGAGGTCAGTAGAAAGTAGTTATTCAAATTAAACTAGGAAGAAGTTTTCTGATTTGGAGAATATCTAAATATGGAAAGTTCTCTAAACAATAACTTCTTAAAATTTTTGAAAGGAGTTGACCAAAACACAAAAATCGAAAATCAATAACAAATTTAGATGCTAAAAATTTTGCGGTAGAAGTAAAAGAGAAAGCGGATTAGCTAAAACTTGAACTGAACGAGCTCTAAATTAAGATAATATATAAAAATATACTTGTTAAGCTAACGATATTCGTAATTTTTGTTAAAATACGATGTTTATATTATTCGCAAAGTTATAAATATACTCTTTCTATCTAGACTATAACTAAGTGCTTAAAACTCCATTAATATGGTTTGGCAATTTGGCTTATAAATTTGAGGGGTTACTATTACTACTCATTAGCAAATATTTTGACCATACCTAATTCAAAGGGTTTGTTACATACTAAATCAGCACGACAATGATTTTATATAGACATATGAACGTGTCTTGATAATTCAGATTTAGCTTTCAAGGTAAAGTTTGTATCTTAAGAATAAATATTGTCGATACTCATACCAGCAGCAGGCAACAGTTTTAATCATAATTAATAAGTAAAAGTGCTTATATTATACTAAAACTTTTTTTTTTTTTTTGGGGTTTAAAATACTAAAACTTTTTTAAGATTAATGGGTGACAAAAGCATCATGGGGTGGTGTGTGCGATCTATTTTTAACTTTTCTTTTTCTTCATGTAATTCGTGTTTTGTGTTTTCCTTTTTCGTAATTTTCAATTTGGTAAACCGGGAAAACCTCACTGCAAATCACAAAATGGGATTAACAGAAAGCTTAATTTCTGAATTCTTTATAAAATAAATAGATGATCGTTGGACCCTCTTTTGATACGTTATTGTTTTTCCACAAACCACGATATTAGCTGACAAACACAAATTTTTTTCTATTTCATGGGTCCATCATCATTGGTTTACAATTTGCTTTCAAAACCATTATTGCATATATACTTTTACCACTAAATAAGGGAACCAAGAAAACATATTTTGTTAATTATTGATAAAGTTTCGTAATACATAATTAATTTATAGAGTTTGTAATCCAGACGAAATTTTTTAGACTGCTAACAAGTAACAACCAAATGAACAGAAACATCATACACATTGTTTATGACATGTGTTCAAAACATGTTATTGTCAGAAAACATGATTAGGATGATAAGGAAAAGCAAATTAGGGAGGAACATAGAGGAGTGTATTAGTGGGAGAGAATGAGGAATTTTGAGGGGGAGTGGGATTTTAAAGAAAAAAGAAGAAAAAATCTTTAGACCCACCAGCAAAGCATTTTTAATCAAATAGTCTATGAGAAATAAAATAAAGTGTAAAATTCTAAAAAATAATTAGAAAATAAAAAGGAATAAAAGTAACAAAACAAGTATCAAATATTTTGGTTAGTGTGGATTAACAATATAACATAACAAATGGAACAAAAAAAAAAAGCGAAAACAGTATATAATATAAATTATATGGTGATTTTAAAAGTATATATATCGTTTATAGTTTTTCTTTGACTAAAACATTTTCCAAAATTTGGCCTAACTATTTAACCTCCTATGCTATGTAGTTTAGCTCAAGGTAATCTAATATCACAAGGCTCATTAATTTTCCTAAAACCTATGTTTTTACATGAAGAAGTATGTACATGAATATGTTTTATACCAAGTTACCAACAAGGTTGCATTGATTTAATTTTGAAAACAAATCATGAATAAATGTACTTACTGATTCTGCCGATGCCTAAAAAATAAAATTTTCAGTCGGTAGAAGAAGATATTGGATCTTTCTGTTCATTTACCTTCTTTTTGGGGTCAGAAAATAATAAATGTGTTGTTATCAACTTAAATTGAAACTTTGAACGAATAAAGAGAGAGTGGTGGGGGACTGGGGTGGTACAAGCTAAGAGGCCCAGCCCATTTATTGCTAGTGGTTAGAATTGCCAGCTTTTTTTTTCTAGTCCAAATAATGAAACATATACATATATATAGAGAAAATAAATTAAATGTGTTGTAACCTTTTTAGGTAGAAATCAAATTAAATGATATGAATTCTATGGGATCTGAACGAATTATTGCATTTTCCGACAGAGATTGAATCGCTCTCCAGCAACAGGACCATGATCAGGATCAGACATGCATGGGGGTGGGGCTTGCGACAACTGCAATGCATACACATATAAAAAGCATTTATATTCTTGATAACAGTTTTTACTTTGTTTACTACTACTACTAGTGAAGTATCTTGTTTAGGAGAATGTCTTTGACTCTTTATACATATAACATACTGTAATGTATATTGAATGAAACTTTTAACGGATTCACTGATCCGCAAACAATGTTTTATGTTTAACCACTCATCCGATCCGATCAACTATTTTAGTTTTCTAATTCAAAAGAGTGTTCTGACGATTAACAAATATTAAGTTAAGAAAATTGTTTAAACAGTAAATTATTTTAAATGATTTTGGAGTGAAAGTGTAAAACGATAAATCAATATGAAAGATAATAATTAACTGAGTGTGACGACTAGAAGAAGGTTTATATGCGTTTTAGGTTTGATCAAGACATTGTGTAAGAAAAAAAAAAAAGACATTGTGTAAGCCTGTAAGGAGAGACATAAACCGCGTGGCGTTTTCGGAATACGAAAACGTCTTGTTTGCCTCATTTTAAGTATCAAACAACACGCAGTTTTTGTTTCTATCAGATTTCTGTTTTCTTCTTCTTCATTCATTCACTCGCTTTGCGCTGCGTTTGTATCAAAACTTTCTCTCTGACCGTTTCGAAAGCAAAAGCTTCAGCGATCTTCATCGTTTTGTTATCGTATCTTAAGGTACGTTCCATTTTCATTTTACAAAAATTGTTTTGGATCAATCTTTAAGTGTATCGTCTTTGGTTCGTGACGATCCTCGTCTCAGGATGAATGAATTAAAAGATTGATTTCGCCCTAATTGTTGTAATGTACGGCTCCTAGAACCTTAAGCTAGATCTAGATTCGAACATAACTTTACTGTGATGTTTAGGTCAGAGAACCTAATTTGTGAAGGTCAAGTGCGTTGATTTGATAAGAAAAAACCCTAATTTCTGGGTGAAGTTGATTGTGAGTACTGAGTAGTATGACTTTGAATAGCATTGAGTAGAGAAACGAGATGGGTTTTGTCAATTTAGGTCAGGTAGTTCAATTTATGGATTCAATGCTTTGATTTGACAAATAAAAAACCAATTTTGGGGTGAAATCGATTGTGAGTAGTGTGTTTTTGTGATTTTGCAGTTGGATATGGGTTTCATAATGGAATTTGCGGAGGATCTGGTCCTAAGGTTGATGGAGAATCCAGAGGAAAGAGACAGGAAAGCAAGGGAACACATATATGAGATGCACGAGAGGTGTAAGAAGATTAAGGAAATGTGGGCATTGCCTATTCGTCCTTATGGATTCTGGACATTTGAGCGTCACAATGCTCAACTTCGTTGGGATCCTCAGATCAGTCAGGTCGCTGGCCGAAGGGATCCTTATGATGATCTCCTTCAGGACAACTACACTCCTCCCAAGTCTTCTTCATCTTCAGACTGATGAGACAATGGTTAGTGCCCTTATATCTAGCATTTGAAGATGGATGTTCTCTACTATATAATCGATAGCTGCTTTTGTCTCAGTTGGTAGAGGAATTTGCATTGGTCGATGTATTATTTAATCTTTGAGGGTCTCTAAGCTATATTGATATGGTGCTGTAAATATCTTCTTATCTACAGTTTTGTCTCTGTCAATAAAGGAATTTGTGTTGTTTGATATATGATTTTAACTTTTAGGTTGGTAGAAATGGTGTGAACTTATTAGTGATTGCACTCGCTTTCAAACTGAGGGTCTAAGCTGTATTGACAATGTGGTGGTAAACATTATCTGTTATGTATCGAATCTTTGCTTAACTTGCATAGTTGCCGGGACGAAGTATATTTTATTCATCTAATGAGATTGCACGCCTCTTCTACTTAAAATATGTGCTTCAGTGCTTGGAATCTGCAGTCTTTTCTTGCTTTTTTTTGACAGTCTCAGCTTCACTGATGTATTTAAGCACAATTAGCATAGCTGCTGCGAGAAGTTGAAACTCGATTTTGATCTGTCTGTTTTTTTCTGTTGCAGGAAGATGCATTATGCTTTCTGAATGGATGGATGCATATGTTTGTTTTCAAGCTATTTTCCCCAGAATTGTACCCCCTCTGTTGAATTGTACCCCCTCTGTTTCAATTTGTTCGTCAAGTGTATGGGAGCTTGGTACAAACTCAATAATAGCTCAAGACTCGTTTACGAATGAGAGAGAAATACTCATTGGCTTTTAGTAAAGTTGTTTTGATTCTTCATCATTGATATGAAAATTAATTTCCTTGAATATTATATGACGTTTTGTTGCAAAAAACATCTTCTGGTTAAATGATTAAAACACACACCACTTTAACACCACCAGGAACAGAGACGCTTGACCAAGTTTTGTGATTGAACAAAAAAAGATAAAAAGGAAAAGGAGAGGTCCTAAGATCATTTACATACGTAACCAAACCCAAGAAACCACAGGCAACAACCAATTCACGATTACAATGATTCAATCCTAGTCCGAATCAGAGGATGATTTATATCCATCAGTAGTGGCTGCAGTTTCTTCTTTCTTTCCATCAGTAGTCGCAGCTGTATCTCCTCCTTTCTTCTGCTTAGCATCTTCTTTCTCATAAGCCTTGACAATATCATCAACAGGGACCAATGGAAGATAACCAACCAAAGAGTAACCCATCTGAGACATATCAGTCACCAAATCGTTGTACCTACCGAAAAATTTAGCAGCCACTGGTAAAGCTTTCTCTCCCACTGCATGAATAGGTTTGTAGTGGTTGAGTTTAGCCCAGACTTTAACCGAGTTGTTCACAACGAAACACTTGTACTCAGTCGCAGCATAGCTAAACGCAGCTTTGGGACCACCGGTTCGAGCCTCTTTCACAAAGCTCTGAGCTTTCTCTGTTGCTTTGTAGATCAATACATGTGCTTGAGTCACCACTTGCTTAGCCATCGGAGGAGCATGCTTATCAAACTTGTAAGATGCTTCACCAACCTATAGAAAAAAGTAAATAAAGGTTACAACTTTAGCCACAAAACTTAAAACAACTAAGCACGATCTGGGTTTCTACGATTGAAACAAATTAGGTCATCAGATCGGGTTACCTTGTGATCTAGAAAGAGGAGGAGAGAATCTGGAACATCTTTGAATTTGTGGTAAACAGGGGTGACGACGGTGGTGACAGCTCCTTCAACCTTTTCCACGGCGGATTTGAGAGAACCAGAGTTTTGTTTGGCGTAGTCGTAGAGATTTGAGACAGAAGCCAGAAGCTGGATCGCTGCAACTCTGACGAATCCAAGATGCTTTAGCCCTAGATTCTTGCTATTCTTCTTCTCTGTTTCCATCTATATAACCAAAGAAGAAGAAGATGATGAGATCAATCTTGAATTGTAAATCTGACTGAGAAAAGAAAGAACAAAAGTGATAAAATAAATCTTTACCTTTAGTTTTGTTTTAGGAGTTCTTCGGATTTTGCGTTTCTGTGAGAAAAATATCGTCGGTCACTGTTCTCTCTATGACGTTGTGAAACAGCAAAGTATCTTCACATCACGTTGAGGAGTAGTGAGAGGAGGTTAAAAAAGACGAGAGGTATTGGACTTGTCCATGTGATCCAACGGTTGAGAATAATAGATCTGGTAATAGGGTAGGGGCCCTTGAAAGGAATCGTTTTCTTGGAAGGTGTATCGTGTGTGGATGTTTCTGGAATTTTTTAGCTGTGGGCAAAGATTCTAGGATATTCCGGCAATGTCACGTGTTCGCTTTCCATTGCGTGTGTGATTTTATAGGTTTTGGATTTTAACGAAAGTGAATTTTAAATTAAGAAATACTTCTTCCATAAGAAATTAAGAATGTAGTAGAATCACTAGAGAAACACTAAAAGGTTTTTACTAGTTTTATTACACCAACAAAGTATTGGAGTTTGGTTTTCACCTTTGCAACCTTTTAAGATACTAATTAGAAATACTTAGAAACCAAGCATGAGACTAGTCTCAAACGCATAGGGGGGAATAAAACAATAAAAGCGATAGATAATAACAGAACCACTGAGGAAGATGGTTGTAGTGTCTGATATAGAGAGGTGTGGTAGTACCACCGTGGTACTATCTTTTCAACTAGCCTGAGATTTCTGGCGCTTGGAGTATTGTAGAATTGGCTCTCTCACCTTGACAAACAGATCACAACCAAAAACGAAACAAGGCGTATGTCAGTTTCAGCCATTATAACTTAAGTTGAAAACATAGAGAGTATTGAGGTTTAGTGTAATAGACCATGCTGGTTTTCCTGTAACGTCTGTCTTGTGAGGCTTGGCTACAGTTGGCTATCTCGGCCTCTTTAGCAACCCCTCCGTTTACTGCAAAGCTCTCCCTCGAAGCAGCAGGCTGAGGAGTGAGACACAATTACTAAATTAGCAAACAGTTTTAAAAGAGTTGCAAAAAATTAGGATCACTCAGTTGTGATTTCATTCTACCTGTGCTTTGTTGCTAATGGGAGTGTTCCCAGCTTTAGAGATAGTCTGTTCACTTAGAACAGAGCCATTCGGCTGCATCCCAGATCTTCCTTTTGTACGTGTGAAGTCTGATCCTATGGAGTGGATACCTCCACACGTAGATACATCTGTATGTTTCCATATATGTAAGATAGATAAAACAGCTTAGAATTTGGGTGAAAAGTGTCAACGGGAGTGAGTACCTGCTGTTACATTGGCCTCTATGCCGTTGGTCTTGTTAACAGCTTCATTATCATCCACATCCTAAGAAAGCATTCACATTATAAAGCTGTTCCAAGGATTTATCAATTCTAGTTTTAAGTATTATTACCATATCATCTATGGCAAGAACCTTTCTGACTTCATATAGCTTCTTCTCAGTTAGACTAGAATGAACCACACGTTTCCCTGTTTATAAACATTGAATCATTGAGGCAAAATAGTATAACAACCAGCAAAACTTAACAGAGAAGGGTCTAAATGAAAGTACCTAGCCTGCGGTTGCTAGAAGCTTCCACGTAGCCCTCTTGGGTCATTCTGTCCATTAATTTACGAACTGTAGTTTGATTGGCTTCACCATCCAGCATGTTGTGAAGCTTTGTAATCGTCACATATTTCATAGGAAGAGAATGGTATAGAGCCTAACATAAAAACCATGCGTCAATCAAAGATCTCAGAACCTTATTTATCTATCCTTTGTGCACGTGTATCAATCCAACATAGAAGTATGAAATTAGAGTCTCTCACTTTCATGTACAAGTAGTCTTCAGGAGCTATAGGTTTCTCCTCCTTTGGAGGTGTTTCAACGTCAGCTTCATCTTTCACAAAGGTGAATTCACTCTCTGGTGTCTGGTGACATTTTGAGTACGTAAGAATTTAAAATTAAAAAGCAAAAGAGAGAATCATAAGAAAATGAGATTAGATCAGTAGGATTTAGGATAAAACAGTCACCTTTCTAATGTATGTGTCATTCCCAGTTTTCGAAAGAACACCTTCTTTCACGAGCTGATCCATGATTTCTGAAAGTCAAAATGTGACCAGTTAGTATAGGGAGACAGAATTTGAAGTTAACAGCAGATAGCTATTAGCAAACTGTATTATTTCATCATCATATGACGATGCTTCAAGTGTGTTTTTGCCTAGTGATTTACCTTCAGATAGAACCTGAAATCATAAAAAAAATAAAGTGGCTTAGATTTAAGAAACGGCAGAAAGTATGTAAGAGCTCAGTTACACTTTCTAAGGTGGAATCAATAGGAACAATTCATTACTACGGAGATATCTGGGAAGTTTGCTAAGATATCTGTGAGCTCCAGAGTATCTAGGTGACGGGAGTTGATCCAGTCCTTCACCCTTGCCAACTGCTGTTCATTTTCAGCCGGATCCTGTGTGTTGTCATCTTGAAGCATTTCACAGATAGTTGAAGATTAGAAGAAGCTTTTCTAATTCCGTGTAAAAAAATGCGTTTGCCTTAATAGTTAGATAGTAATTCACCTTCATCGACCTCTCCGTCATCATCATCATCTTGTTTCTCTGTTCGATTATCAAAACTTATTCAGGTTAGTGGATACTTAAGTAGACTGGCATAAGCATACTACGATTTGTTTGTCATCATCATTACCTACTGGCACCACAATGAATTGATTTTCTTGAGTTTGACTGATCTGTAAAACAACAATGAACATAGAGTTTATGCACAGCAAAGTGTTTACAATGTAGGATGAAAAAATCTGATTTAAAAGTAGATGAGCTAATAAATGACTTCTTTAACCTCGCTATCTGAATCAGAAGGCTGGTCATCATGTACAGAATCAGGTCCAATACTCTTCCCATCATCTTGCATGTCATCATTTTCATCCTCACAAGGATCAAGCACGCTCTTGACCTGCACAGATCATCCAGAATCAAAAGAAAAGAAATATGTCAAGCAAGCTGCATCATTATTCAATCACATTACCTTTAGCGTTAACACAAGATGTTTGCTGTTGACATTCCCAATTTCCATTCGCAGAGGATTCTTTGTCCATACATACTGAGCTTCTTCTTCTGTGCATCCTCTGAAGAAAGGTGGCTCGTAATCTGTTGGCTGTAAAAGTCAAATTACAGCTGTCAGTCTTTCTTCTAGGCATTAAACTTCGGCAGAGTAGAGGAAAGTGAGACAAGGTGAATGGTATAGGAATTCTTCCAATAGATAAGCAAAAAATTGTATGCAAACACAACAACTTCAAAGCTATACTGTATGTGTTATAAGTGTATAGAACCAATCAGTAAATAAGAAATAGACAGGCATAAAATTTGAATGCTTATTATCTCACATGTTAACCAATAAGTAGGAATTATTAAACAAAAGAAGCTCTATTCAAGCTGCATTAAGATAATAACAATATCACCAGTGTTCAGAGAATTTAGTAAGGCTGTAACCATACCGTCACATCATCATAGTACAGAAGCTTCATCACTATGGTGCGCTGTAATAGAAACAATGAAGTGGTAATCTCAGTAATCAGCAATTTGGAAACTGAAGTAAATGGAATACTCCTTGAAGGGTAGTTGCAATATTCATTACCTCATCTGGCATTTTGTCAAGAGTCCTCATCAGCTGGACTAGTGTACGAACCATTTTGCAAGCTGAACTCCTGATTTCAGAGTACAATCATGGAAAATAATAAAGCATGTTACAGAAGATAAAACCAGATAGACCTCAACGTAGGAAAGAAATATCTCAAACAGTGCACCTCATTTGATTTGGGGTAATGTCAGCAGTGGAGTTAAATGTTCCTCCATTTTTCTTATTTCCAGTACGACTGATATTCATCATGACATCTTGGCTGTCAGAATCTGAATAGCTGAAAGAAACTGTAGTAACACAAACTCTTCATCAATCAATAATGAATGATAAAGCATTGAAGTTAAGCTTAAAAACGATTTAGCAAAAAAGCACATGAATCAAAGAATACACCAATCAATCAGGGAGGAGTGAGGTATCATCTAATCAAACCATAAACCAGGGAACAACACTTTTACAAAGCTAAGCAAGCAAATCTCCAGAACTTACATGCGTATTCCTCAATCATCGGACCATCAACCTTTTCACATATGCAGAACATGAGCGTCTTCAAATATTTCCTCTGAAGAGCATCGTAGACTCCTAGATTTCATGATAAAGAAACAAAATCACCAAAGATAAACAAGGAAACAATTGAAACCAAGCGTTGAATGCTAAAATCGTATGTATTAAAACCTTTCTCCATCCAATCAATTAACCGGCGTGATTCAGCATCCATAGGCATTAGCTTCTTAATCTTCATATCTACAAAAACATCCGCCAAATATTAGTTACTATTTTTACAGAAATCGAAATTTAAACTGGATTTCTTAAGATCCCAAATCCAGAGAGCTCTAGAAACTTCCAGATTAGCATCTCACCTAAAGCAGGAACCGATTTATCGTTAAAATACTTCTCAGGAAAGAGTCCTCTGATGTAGCTGATGTTGAAGATAGCAATACGCAGCAGATTCCTAGTCTATTTCAACAAAACGAGAACCAAAACAAAGACGTAAGTGTAAAAGAGCTACAAACGTAGAAACAGTTTCACGATTCCCAAATTAAGCCAAAAAACACATACATCGCAGTCACACAAAGCAGATTAAGAGATCGATACGTTAAATCCAGATCAATATCAGCGGAATCATCAGGAAGGAACGAGAAATTTAACTTATCGTTTAAGAAACAAAAAAAAGCTCGCCGATCGGCGTATGCGTAGCTTACCAGAAGAAGCGAGTCCTGCTCAGTGATCTCTGCTTCCTTAAGCTTCTGTAGCACAACCTGAAGTAGAAACAAACGCAACACTGAATCAGATTGAAAAACAAAAACCCAGAGCAAGACGAAGAGAAGAACACGCGCGGAGATGAGAAATCGATGATCGGAGAAACTTCAGCTCACCATTTTCGCAGAGGTTTCGAAACGAAGAACTTGATTCTTCGTAGTCGCAGTAATCTCAGAGAGAGAAGAAGATAAAATTTCAAAAAATAAATTCGAAAATAGAGTAAAATGGGTAGAGTGAGAGTCTGTTTGGGGAGCTTGTTTGAAGTTTATAGAAATGAAGAAGAATCTTTAAGGGCAAAGTTGGTATTTAGTGTTGAAAGCAGGGGCAGTATCGACTAATTCCTTAACGTTACGAAGATATTTATGGGTAATGTTGGTATTTAGGGATAGTAGTAGGGGTAATATCGTCTAGTTTCATCTAACGTCCTACTAATAGACTGTAGTCACGTACAAACGCTACCAAAAAGTTCGTTGCTCTGAGTTGAACTTTTTTAATATCTATTATAATTGTTTTATTATTTAATGCAGAGAATGGAAAATGTTATAGCTCGGCCCAATGTTACAGACCGGCCCAGTTTATGTATTGTTAGTGGGTTTAGTCTAGTTACATCTTAAAAACCCAAGTAAAATCCAAATAAGTTAATCCATGCAAGAGATTTTGCAGTGTTTTGATTTTTTTTTATTAAAGTTCAAACTTCAAACAAAGGTTTGTTAGATGATAGATAAAAAAAAATTATGAGCATGAAAAATAGATGTGTTGTTTAATTAAACTTATAACAAAATGAAAGAAAGTTTTGGATTTTTCACGTGAACTTAATAAAGAGAAAGTTACAATAACTTAGTTTTACACGATAAAGTTCTCAAATCCTCCAAAAAACTTCAAAACTCGTTAAAATAAAAAACAATGATAGAAAAAAAATTGTTGGTTCATACGTAAAATAAAGATAAGACTTGAAATTACTAATTAAAATTTTCCTCAAAAATATATGTGTTAATAATATATGTTAGTACTGATATGTCTAGTGAAATTGAAAGAAATCTTAATAGATAAAAAAATATAATAATTAAGGCAAATACTGATTTTTTTACTTTTATTTTTATTTGGGTGAATATATATGCTGTAGATAAAAAATATTAGCTGTCAAGCAGTAAATAATTGTAATTATATAGTTGACATCTATATACAACGTATTTCATTTTACTTTGAATAGAATTACATACTTTACCTTGTAAAGTTGTAAGTCATAAGGAATGTAATAATTTTTAATTTGTTTCCATGTGTATTAAATGTCATAGTCAAAACAAAATAAATTATTTTTCTTAATTAATAAAAACCCCTTTAACTAGGGGTTTTCAGTAAAACAACCAAACACCACCAAGATATATTTGTTGTCTCTACATAAACCTATCTCTTCATAACTCAAACAAGATAAAAAAACATATACAACCTCTTCACCTCTCTTTTTCGTATACACACACAAGTCAAACATGAGTCTTTTCCCTCTCTCACTGCTCGAGCCCTCTCGAGTACTTCCTCATCCACCCAAACCCATGAAGGCATCACTATCGTCAGATGCAAGTGAGAAACGGATCCTCATCGATGCCGACCAGATCAGCAAATTCCCAGACAATGTGTTGGTCAGGATCCTATCCACTCTGGCCACAGAAGATGCCATCAAGACTGGTGTGCTAAAAAAGCGTTGGCAGCATTTATGGAAGCGAGTGCCTTACCTCCACTTCGATATGCTAATCGATATGCTCAAGGAGGCAACTCTGGATGAGGAAGCTATAACAAAGGTTTCTCTCTAATCTTATTATTATTTATTATTTCTTTTTGGTGCAATCTATCTCGTTTTACCCTAAACTTAAACTCATAGATGGTGGTTGAATTGGTTGATTGAATTACATTTTGATTCTTAGAAGAAATATTTTACACGGACCAATCTTAAATCAAATACACTTGTTTAGTATAGACAAAAGTTCAAAGATGCATATGTTTGATCTTTTGTGGTTATGTGCTTGCTTCTATGGTTTATCTTAATTAAGTTCCCACAATATTAACGGCATTTCACCCGAAATTATTGTTTTGGTTTATAAATGCATTATTGATAGTTGATGAAAATCTTTCAGTTTATTGAATTTAGCAGTTGATAAAACCATAGTTAAACACAAGTTATAATTAATAATTGGTTTTAATTGACAATTAACACTGTATTAAAGTCACTAATGTAGCTTTTTTTTTTTGTCTCTTTTTTCTTGAAGGTTTTACACAGTCACAATGGTCAGCTAAAGGGCTGCTCAATCAATCATTACGCCCAGCTGTGTAAAGACCCTAACAATGTGCTCAAAACATGGATTCAGTTTCTTGTTCATGAGAAAGAAACAAAAGCTCTCTCGCTTTCAAACTGCCATGGTGATGGTACGAGAAGCAATCAGCTTCTGTTGTCCCCAGGCTTATTCTCACATCCAAACTTCGAGACACTGTTCCTATATCGATACGGTTTCAAATCTGCCGAAGCCTTCAACAACTGCCACAATCTCAGGATTCTCAAACTTGAGACAATCTATGCTGAGGTTGATGTGTTCAACCAAGTTCTTGCATCGTGCCCTTCTCTCAAGGTGCTTGTGCTGCATGACGTCATGTGGCTCAAGTACAAAAGTGCTAGCTTGAAGATCCACAACAAGATGCTTAAGCTCTTGCATGTGTCTTCCGTTTATGTTGATTGCATTGATGTGTCTGCTCCTCTTCTAGATATTTTCTCGAGTTACTGTCTTCCTCTTGATGGGGAATCTGACGTCACCGAGAAGTCCCCTAAACTTTTGTTCGATAATCGTGATATGGACTTCAACAGAGTCAACATGCACTACAACATTTCAAATCAAGCTCAGGTATAAGTACAAAAAACCTATTATATATATATATAATTATATTGTATGTTTTGTTTGACATGTTAAATTATTGTATATTATAGGAGACAGAAAGAATCGGGCACGAGTTCGTGGTGAGCAAAGATGCTAAGTATTTGCAGCGGATTAGAACTTTGGCGGTGTTCGTGAATGTAACGAATTTGAAACAAGTTAAGATGCTAAGGCAGCTACTAAGTGCATGTAATGGAACACTGAAAGTGCTCCATATATTATTTCAGCTGCAGGTACGTTCATTTTATGCTTTAATTCTAGTTAAATAGGTCTAGTTTCCGACACATGCTTATGTTTATGTCCTTGTCTATATGTATAGGAGGAAAATCTTTCTAAGGAAGAAGGTGAAACTTCCACTGATGGAACACAAAACAAGATGTGGGATGAGGGCAAACTGTTTCCCAATGCTGAGTTCCGAGTTGAATCTGTGTCCTTGGTTGATTTCACTGCTTGGAATGAAGCTCACTTCGCAATTGCTTCGCGTTTCATAACGGAAGGGACAGTAACCAAGAAGATGAGGATCATGACGTACGTCTTTGGTTCCAGCAAGCAAGAAGTTAAGCCAAACTGATGAAACTTCCAAAGGGTAACAAGAGGCTTCGTATTACAAGCTTTTGAATTTATTTGGATTCTTATATTAATATCTCCCTAATAAGTCCTGTGTGACAAAGTATCTGCTATGATTTTCTTTTAAAACCTTAAGATTTTCTTTTAAAACTTTAAGATTTTCTTGTCCCTTTCTAAATCTTTATGCTTGTTTTGAATGTTTCAGTGACCTAATTAGATACCATTTTCGCACAATGGTTTATATCAAACTTTTGATTTTATTATTCAAGAGATATGATTCAAGCTCCATTGATGACAACAATGGCAAAAACAATATAAACAAAATCTTCTTTGGAGAATTATAGCCCAGCCCATGAATTTTTTGGGTTTAGCATAATTATTTCTTAAACCAAGTAAAAATCATATTAACAAAAATATATATATATTAACCAAGTAAAATATATTTGCAATTAAAAAGTTGCTTTAGTCTACGTGTATGATTTGTCTTTTTTTTTTTTTCTTTAGTTTGACCAAAAAGGCATACTTTATTACATAATAAGGAAAACTTTAATTAGGGTTTCATTACCAATAAAAAACACCACACAGATATTTCCGTTACTTTGTAATCCTTTCTTATGTCTTATCACATATGGCAAATTCTTAACCAAACCTATCTTCACAGATTCACATCTCTCATAGTGTTCATACAAGTGAAAATCATGAGTCTCTTCCCTCTCTCCGCTCTCACAACCTCTCAACTTCATCATCCTACCAACCCCATGACTGCATCATCATCATCGGATGCAAGAGGCGACCAGATCCTCGTCGATACGGTCGAGGACAGGATCAGTGAACTCCCAGACGACGTCTTGGTCAGGATCCTAAAGGATATGACCACAGAAGATGTTGTCAAGACAAGTGTGTTGTCTCAGAGATGGAAGGATGTTTGGAAAAAAGTCCCATACCTCATCTTCGATATGCAAAAAGCTACCATACCCAACAATATGGAACCTCTGGTCGTTCATTCTGATCGTGTTGCCGATTCCATTACCGAGGTGTTTCTCTCTCTTTTTCCTTATTTTTCCCTCTATTCTTGTTAATTGACCATAGCTAGCTAGTCCTGATAGTTGAATTGATGATTACATTACATTTTGATTCTCAGAGAAGTCAATTTGAATTCAAATATACACTTGTATGTATCATACAATTAATCTCGTTAGGTGTTCATATGGGTTTTATTTTTTTATTTCCGCAATAAAAAATGGAAATAACAACAGTTTTTCGCGGTAAATTTAAAATATTTTGAGTTTTGATCAATATATGTATATATATTTGAAAAGGTTAGCATAGATTGTAAATGCATTATTATAAGATTTATTGACAATCTACTAAAACAATCTCTTGCCTTCTTCACATAGTTAGTTCCATGATATATATTTCTTCAGTTTATTTTGGTATATGCAATTCACATACAAATCTTTATTGTATATGTAAATTGACAAGTTATATTGTATATGTGTATGTTTTATTGAAACCACTATGATCTTGTTTTCTTAAAGGTTATAAACAATCACAAAGGTCATCTGGCGGGCTGCACAATCAGACATTATTACCACCAATGTCATGACGGTGTGCTCGAAACTTGGATTCGATTACTTACTCTTCAGAAACAGACAAGGGCTCTCTCACTTTCAAACCTTCATGCTAATGGTAGAGGACTCAATCTACTCGAGTTGTCCCCAAACGCATTCTCACATCCAATGCTCGTATCACTCTTCCTATCCCTATACGACATAGAAACTCCACATGCCTTCAACCAATGCCATAACCTCATGATTCTCAAGCTTGATAGCATATTTGCTGAGGTTGATGTGCTAAACACAGTTATTGCATCGTGCCCCTCTCTCAAGGTGCTGGTGCTTCATGTATTGTGGTACAATGCAAGGGCTTGCTTGAAGATTAGGAACAATAACCTAAAACTCTTGCATGTGGCTTCCACTTTTGTCGATTGCATTGAAGTGTCTGCAGCTCTTCTGGATATTTTTTCCATTGACTATATCTTTGATGGGGAATACAACTTCGTCATCGATGCCCCTAGACTTTTGTTTACTACAAACATGGAGAGATTACCATCCTTGAACTATAATATTTCATGTGATGCTCAGGTAAGTACAAGCAATTGCATTATATATATCATTGATATCTATTTCTTGGTTGACATGTTTAAGTTGTGCATATGAATTGAAGGAGATGGAAAACTTTGGGAATAAGTTCTTGCTGAGTAGAGATGCTAACTATTTTCGTCGGCTTAAATGTTTGGCGGTGGCCGTGAATGTAATGAACTGGAAAGAAGTTGAAATGTTAAGGGATGTTCTTGTTTCATGGAATGGAATAATGAGAGAGCTCGATATATTATTCAAGGTAAGAACATTTTATACTTCAGTTTTTAGTTAGATAGATTTGATGTGCTTTTTATTTATTTTTCCATTTATCACTGTTGTTGAATTAGTATGTATATCAAATATTCTGAAACATGTTTATGTAACTTCTTGTATATATAGGATAAGGAAGAAGGTGAAACGTCGATTGATGGAGCACAAGAGACAATGTGGGAGGAAAACTTGTTTCCCAATGCTGATTTCCGCGTGAAAGTTGTGTGGATGTTTAATTTCAGCGGGTCGAATGAGAAACAGTTTGAGTTAGCTTCGCGTTTTATAACGCAAGGGACCGTAATGAAGAAGATGATGATCATGTCGTCTTCGGTTCCTGCAAAGGAGAAGTTAGATATTGAAGCGGCAGTCGCCAAGCTAATGAAACTTCCAAAGGGTAACAAGAAGCTCCATATTGGATGCTTTTGATGGAAATTTGGTTCCAATCTATATAGTTCTATATATTCTGATATAAAAACATAAACCATGATGTTTTCTTCTCCCTTTCTTTAGTTACATTTTCTTTTATGATAAAAATTATATGTTGGCTAAGTTTTAATTTGCTTTTAAGTTTAATTGACAAAATACCATCTTCTTGCAATGGCTTTTACTGAACTTCTCCCTCAACAAGCCGGTGGGATATTTGTAATAGAAAAATCAACTTCTTTGGGATTTTCTAATGTGACATTGTCTAAATCTAAAGTGATAACAAGAATACAGATTGATTAGAGTGATAAGACTAAGGGAGAAAAGAGACCATCTTTTTGTACATGTCGTAAGAATAATTTTGGTAACACATTGGAAAGTGAGTAGGGACACTTACAAGATTCTAGGTCGAGCATTTGCCTAGCTCCATGCTTCTTCATTAGATGCTGAAACGAAGTATACTCTTCTTTATAGAAATCACATAAAGATCGGTTACATGATATGTGTGAAGTTCTTGTAGGCCTCCATCAATTCTATATTGGCCTAAATCCCAAAGTATATATATGCTTCTTGGAGATAGTATGTGGGCCAATTACGTACTAATCAAGCCCAAAAACAGTTTTGATTGTAATTTAGGGAAGTTTGGTGCACAAGAAAAATTAAAGTGAGCCCTATCCTTTAGGTTCCAGGGCTGTTTCAGTGGTAAATACAGAGAGGTGAGAGAGTTGAACCAGTGACAAAAACAAAACAAAAAACAAAAACAAATAAAAAGGAGAAAGAAGAAAATAATATAAGTAAGGAAGAAGTTTGTGTCTTATATACCTTAAGGTTTTGCTTTATCTTCTTTTGTTGTTCTTCTCTAAGCTTTGTTGTATGTTTGTGAATCTATATATACATTTTTGAAGTACATTTGGTACTAAAATCTATTTAGGTTTATAACCTTTTATTTTATAATATTTGCATAATCAAACCCTTGCCAATTGAATAAATAACAAAACTTAAAAGTAAATTTTTGTAATTAAATCACAAGCAAATTGTAAAATTGGAAACAAATATTTATTACAACAAAAAGATTTCCTAAAATGTCTCTCTCTAATAAATCAAATATCTCCCCAATATATTTATGTAATCTTATTTGTTTTTAATTTATATTATTACATAAAATATACTTATAATAAAAATACAAAAAATTTCCCCACATTTTGCAATTTAAAATTTTGAAAACGGGCGTATATAACTCAAACGATAAAGGAAAAAATATATGTACAACGTCTATAAGGTAAAAACATTAGATAGCTCAAAGCCATTATAAATAGTACTAATATTTTCACAACTTCAAATGAACATGAACTTTGAATTCTCAATTATCCAAATTAAAATTTTAAA